TGTTTTGATTTCACTGCTCATCAGCAAAATGCTCTGATTTGTCCGGGACAGTTTTGTCTGTTTTTTAAAAATTATTCTTTTTAACCACAATTCAAAAGCAATGTCTTATTTCACTAAAATATAATTTAGCAAATTTGTATTTATTACTGCTTTTTTCAGTTTCTAGTTGTTTGAGTGACTGTTGTGAGTTTTATCTTTTCTTTAATGGAAGGTTATGAATACATTTAAGGACGACGGTATTTGAAAACAGATTCACAGGCCTTCAAGTGTGTCTACAGCGGACTCACTGTCGCTGCTGTTCTGCTGAGAAAGATTACAACATTTTGTACTTGTAAAATAAAATAAAACATTTTCTAAAATTATTCTATCCTAAAACCTTGATTATTTCATTTCCTGTGTCTCATTTAGTGATTTATTTGACAGGAACAGCGCTCAGTGATCTGCAGAAAGTAACTGTAAATGAGAGTTAGCCCTTTTCTCTTGTTCCTGTCTGAATCTTAACACAGCAACTTAAAATTAGAATTAAAGTACCACATCCAGATAATCAGTGCAATGCACACCCACCAAACAAACAATGCAGCACAGCCATGATTCAGCTAAGAACACAAACAAAACAAACCAAGACAGCACAGAGATCAATGAAGAACCAAACGCAAAACAGATGACGGGAAATCAGCAGAAAATGCCAGTAGGCTGCTGCTATCCCACTTCCTACATGTCTGATTTCATCTTCTTGCAGAACAAAGACTTTAGATTTCACTTGCATGTGATGCGCATTTGGAACTATTTGTTAAATTTGCAATAGAAACACGGAGAACGATTACGGCAACGTACTGTTCCAGTGTCGACAGACTTATCTGTTAAAGTACTGGTTTTTGTCTGATGAGAAATTCAAAGATGTTACATTTACTGTCACACATGAGCAAAAAAAAATCCTCATATTTGATCAGAAGCAACCAGCAAATGTTACAAAAAGTTCCTTAGGTTACCAAAACAGCTCTGATCCTCCAAGTCCTTCCCTCTACAGACTTCCAAAGATGTCTTGTGGAATCAGGCACCAAGATTTTAGCAGCAGATCCTTTGAGTCCTGGAAGTTGGAGTTTGATTAGTCTTGTCCCAGCTCCAGCTCTTTCTGGCTGGTTTATGGTCAGCATGGTCTGTACCTCCTCTGTCTACTGCCAGTGGAGCCTCTTGTCTGCTCAGAGATGCTCCACCGTAGACGGTCAATAAAAAGTCTGTGGTTTCGACCCATTCGTCTTTACACCTGCCTGGTTCTCCCCCATCCACTCTGCTGACCAGGAAAACTGTTTCTTTCGATTCCGTTTTTCCAACAATAAGTTTTAATCACTTAATCTGTGAGTAGCAGAAAGATTTGGCTTCGTTGTGTACTCAAATACAAACATGAAGCTGGACAGCAGACACGCCCATGTTGGTAGTTTTTATACCGCACTGAATCCATGGACGTGTTCATATCACCATCTCTGATTTTCACCAAGTACTTTCAGTGGCCTAAACTTGAGCAAACTTTCAGTTCAGAGGTGAAAGATCAGAAAACAGTCACTGGTTGTTTTGTGAGACGACAACAAATTGACTTTTGTGTCCTTTCAGCGTGACTCTAGTGTGAGAGCTGCAGCCTCGGGGTAAAAAACTTTACAAGTTGACCAACAGGACGATCGACAAACTCTCTTTGATTAAATCTCTTTTTCTTCCCTCCTCGTCTGTCAGGGCGCTCCAGCTGTCGGGGTTCCTCTTCAGCACTTCCCATCTTGTTTCAATGAAAAAGGGTCAGGGGGGCAGTGATGCATTTAGGGGTCAGCGGTGCATTGTGTTGCCGTCGGCTCTTCCCTCTCCTCCCCGCTCCTTCCTCCTCGGCTCTTACTCTGGGACAGGATGGGTGTCGCCCGGCCCGAGCTGGCTGTTAGTACACTCTGAACCTCAAGTCCACCGTGACCTCTGACCTCTCCCCCGGCTCGCTCAGGAAATGAGCGCCCAGAGCTCTTTATCGTTCTACAGAAGAGGTCTGATTGTGATTGCTGAAATATTTTAGGTGTTATTTGACATTTTGAAGTGCAGCTGGAGTGGAACTCAGAACAAACAGGACAGGAAGAGAGAATTTAGGCCATAAAAGGTCCGCTAACAGATTGTCCTGAGTATTACTTATATATACGACGGTCACAGTTGTCAAATGCAGGTTGACTGCTGCCGGTCACAAGTAGAAATCTCAAAGGTTTTCCAGTATGGAGTTTCAGTCCGAAGATAAATTTATGCAATGGGACTTATACCCTCTAAGAATCTCATCTCTAGGAGGCTGTTATGCAAAAAGGATGTAGGACTTTGGGTTTGTAAATGGTATGGAAAACTATACGGTAATGTTTAAACTTACAACGAGGTAATGGGAAAAGAGTTTGTGTTTCCTGTCATGGTTTAAATAAGCTGTCGGTCTTTTTCTTCTCTTGCTGCCATTGCAGTGGAGAATCTAGAACATGTTGCATGCATTTTTAAATTCACCAATCATCCAGCAAAGTCTTTGTTTTATTATTTAAGGTAATGCAAATCCTGGCAGTGTTTCCACAGCATTATTTGGGGGCTGTCTGGGATTTTAACCTCTTGTAACGAAATGTCAAAACCATTGTTAAGGCAGAAAGATATTATTTTAATTGAGAAAAACTTCTAAATACATAACGTTAATACACAGAGGTGAGCTTTTAGGGATTAAATCAATGACCACAAAGAAGCTTTAAATCAGAAACTATCTAGTCGAAGAGTAAGTTCGTGAGATCGTAAATCTGATCAGATATTCGGCCTCATTTATGTTTGACTTTTCTCAATGTTATGTTTTTTCTGCTTTGAAGTGATCTTGTGAGTGCTTTGAGCTGGACTCGTCCTGGTCGCCTGGGTGTTTCATTGTCACAGTGTTTTGACTGGAACTTGACTTGTGGTCGTGTGAATTGGACTTGTCCCAGTGTTGTAGGTGTTTTCTCATGTATGTTCACCCGTACTAGCCTTTATCTCAGCATCATGGATGTTTTGACTCAGCTGTGTCTCCGTCTGTTGGGTGCTTTCATTCCGTCTTGTTGTGGCCTTGAGTGTTTTCTATTGGTTCTCTTGCTCTCTGCCTTCATTTGCATCGGTAGCTGCAGTAGAGGTGGACATGAAGCCTGGTTGGAAAAAGACCAGAGGAACGACATCAGAGATGTAGTGAGGGAGAGAGTCGCCACTTCACGAATCCTGAATAAAAATCAACGGAAGAATTCCATAATGCCAAATACAGCAAAAAAAAATGTTGAGTTTTTGCACTGATTTAAGTGTAGTGTTGCAAAACCGTGTGCATGTGTAGTAGAAGTAACCTTCAGGGGAATGCTTATAACAACATCATCAGACTTTTGAACTGTTTTTATTATCAGATTTAGCTGGAGATTCAATACTCAAGCTCTGGGGATCACTGACATTGCAGTTCATCCAGGCAACAACGTTGGATAGCGACAAATGCGCATCGCAAATGATTTGTACGTTGACTGAATGAAACCCTTTTCTATGTACAAAATTAAATTCAGTAGTGATGCTGCCTTGATTTTGATGTGGGTTCAGTCTATGGCTCCACTTATGTTTGGGAGTCCAGCGATGACGTGACGTTCCCGTTTGATTTGAGCTCGTTGGTGACGACTGTAAGGGAGCTGGATGTAGGCTGGGGCCAGGGGAGTCATGGCATCCAACACTGCTGGCATGGTCCTGCTCAGTGATGGCTGGGAGATGCCGCATATGTCTCCAACCTCACGCTGGAATGTGCCGGTGGTCAAAATCCCCGAACGCTCTCTATTTGTAGTTTCATTATTCTACTGCTAGATTATGTGTGTACGCATGGTCAGAGTTGTGCTTATATTTATACACTTTCCTAAGTATAAGTACAAGTTGATAAATTCAATACTTTGCGTAGGAATGTTTGTACGCACAATCTATGCACATATTTGTACGTATGCACTGATGATAAATGAGGCCCCAGGTCTTTTTAACCCAAAATGACTTGCATGTTGCATTGCCAAGAAGGCTGCTGAGTGGTGAGACTTGCTTATACGGACTTTGGGGACATTCAGCAAAAATCCAGACAGTCAGGAGTCAAACCGTGGCCTCAGAGTACTCAGCAATCAGGTCGTCCTCTCATGAATGCTCTGCCTTAGAGGGTGTTTTTTAAGTTTATTTTGTTGTTTTTTGCAATTCTGCATTTATTTAGGTTAAAAACCCTGCCTGGCTTCACAAATCTGTCCAATTTGTCCATATATTTCAGGGGTGTTTATGATTGAAGTTACTGCTGGTGTCAAAGGTTGACGAACTTGTGGCTATTTTGACCTTAATAGAGTCAAAAAGCCCAAGTGACCAATTATCACAGTCAATTGGTTTTTGGACTTGTTCCTGTCTCTGGTTTCACTTTCATCTTTAACCAAGTCCATGTGGCTCTTGTCCTCAGGTAGTCGGGCTTTTAGTGTTCATTTAGTTGAAAGCAGACAGACAATTTGTCATCAAGCACATGTTGGAAAATGTGTAAGGTTTGGAACGGTGACGGATATTTTTTCTGGCATTTTATAAATGCCTGCTGACAGAAAAGATAATAATAATCAATGATGACAATGACGATCACTTGCAGCCTCCCGGTCTGCTGTCTGACTATCTCTGAATCCAACTCAGAGCCTGAGTTTCTTTAAATAGCTCCTGTCTGATGAGCTCACCCTGCTGCTCTCAGATTAATGCTTGACAAAAAAAAAGACATAAAAGAAACAGAAAGAGAGAAAATGGGGAGAAAATTGCTCAGCATTCCAGAAAACCAAAATAAACAGAGGAGCGAGTGAGGTCTGGTTTCAGAAACGAGAAAAAAAAAAACCTTCAGCAGGGACGTCATGGAAGAGCTTTACAGAGGAGGGGAAGAGAGGAGGGGGGACTCATACAAAAGGAAAGTCTGTGTGCTGAGGCTCATGAAGCCCCTCCCTCCCTCTGTTCTCCCCCAACAGATGAGCTGGTGTGAAGAGAAGGGGCGAGCGACATAGACAAACACACAGGGGGAGAGAGAGAGAGAGAGAGAGCAGCTGGAAACGACGGAGAGCTTCAGTAGTGGAGAGAGAGAGGAGGCAGCAGGACGAAGCATGACGGAGCTGCTCATCGGATTCTGAGGACCAAAACACAAACCGGTAAAACTCCTCATATTTTCTTCACTTACCCACAGACAGCACTGACAAACTGTTGTTTCTTTTTCATGCTCATTTACAAAAATCCGTTTTGTTTGTTAATTTGTTTTTGCCTGTTGGATTCAGGGACTCTGTAGTAACAGTTGGTTATGAAGCAGTTTCAAAAAAGTGCATTTAAAAATCTAATTTATGAATTATGTTTGGCATATGTAGTCAATAAAAATGTGTTATTACAATTAATTAAGGTTAATTAAACCATTATTTCTCATTTATAAAAGTCTCACAGTTTAACTTGGCTTTTCAGACACTGCAAAGCATTCCGTTTCAGTAATTTGCATTTTAAAAAAACTAAATCTGATTGTTCAAAACTGACTAAGATATTCTTATAGGATTGTACCTGCAGAAATAAATGGAGGGATGTTAACAGAAGCAGCAGTTGTTGTTGTAGCTGTAACATAAGTAAAGCTGCATTTGTTTAAAAAAAAAAAAAAGGTCCCGAGTTACTTTAAAGTTACAAATGAAAGATGTATAAAAACACATACTAATAGACAAAACAGAAAAAGCAACAAATATAAATGTATATATGAGGAGAACAAGTGAGGAAGGGATGCATCACTAAATGTTTTAGAGATTTCAAACACTCAGTGACAGCAGGCAGCAGGAGTGATGCTTTTAAACCTGCAGTCGTTGGCATTTGTTGTGTTGTAGTGTTAGAGTCAAGACTGAAAAATGATTTCAGTGGGATAAAGTTTTCGTTGGCCTTCAGTGGTGCAACGTCTCACCTTGATGCAGTGATGCCGGAGTGCTCTCCTGGCACGGTCGGTACACTGTAATGTCACTGTTTGACATGTTAAACCTGCAGCTTAAAGCATTACTGGTCTATTCCTTACCTTCAAAATACGCAGCACAAGGTCAAGCCAGTGTCCACTTACTGTACCAGCTGTATGAGGAGTCTGCACGGTTGTTGCAGATGCACCTGTTGACATGCTATATACGAGAAAGCTGCGTTATGCTAACTTAGATGCAGATTTTTTTACGTAAAATCCATTAGCAGGGGAATAACAAAGGACTGTAAATAAAAGATAGATGTTACTTTCAGGCCTTAAAGTAAATTCAATGAATAAGTTCTTTAAACCTGCATTCTGTCGAACAGCCAGCAGAGGGCGACTCCTCTGGTCGCAAAAACAAGTCAAATTGTACAGAAGTAAATGAGAAAATGACGCGACTATTAACTTGATTTGTTACCTCTGTAAATGTTTTCCTGATGAGTTTATGGTTTCAGTTACTGGTTTAAAGTCTTCTTCAACACAGCACGATGTTCATTTTGTCAGTGATGACCAAGATGCCTTAAAATGCCACAAGCCAATGGGTGACGACATGGTGGCTCCATCCGTCTTTCTATGCAGTCTGTGAGCAGGGGTTAGATGGAAAATAATGTCTTTAAACTCAGTAGAGGTGCAGTTATTTTCAAAATTGGTGGTGCATGACCAGAGAAAGCAAAGACAAACTGTGTCTTTGTTTGTTCATGTTGTTCAAAATGGGAAAAAAATGTACATCAGCCAGAATTCCTTCCAGTCTGTCGCTTCAGTGTTGATTGGGTGGGTTTAAGTGGACATACAAAACGTACATCCAGTGTGTAGTGTGAAGTAAAGCCTGAATTCAGGAAATCTCCAAATTACGTCCAGGGAAATGGGTCCGGTTGTCCATTTGACAAAAGTTATGTAAGCACATAAACAGTGCACAAAAGTCCAGACAGTTTGGGGGTTAGTTAGTATCTTCCCCAAGGCTACCTGGTTGGTACATCTAGCAGTAGTGGTAAGGTTAATACTAGTAGTGTAGTACAGAAGTGCCTGCAGCAGTGAAGAGGTAGTTGCAACAGCACTAGTGGCAGCAGCTTTGCGTTTCTTTTAAGAGATGAAAAAGGTAACAGTTAAGTTATTGGTTCAGCACAAATATTAATCTGAATCACTGTCACTACATCGGCCTAAGAAAACGCTCCAATTACTCTTTGATGTCTGTCTTCATGTTTACTGGCAGACAAACTGCAGCGCTGGTAGTTTTTCTGCTGTTATTCACGTCGTCCGTCTGTCTCATGTTGCTGACTTCACCCTCCTTGATCCTCCTCCAGGTGGTGATGGGAAACACAGACAGTCACAGCAGCTTCGCCTCTCCTGCCAAGCCCTCCTGCTCGCTCAGGTTTTCCTGCAGGAGGGAGGAGGTCCCGTCAGCTCGCAGCTGGTGGAGGAGCAGCCAGGGGAGCTGCAGGAGCCGAGGGAGGAGCTACCTGAACCAGCACACCGCCGGCCCGCCGTACACGTCCTGGCATTATGAACCAGCAACCAAAGCAGCCAGAGGAGGCTCCAAACTGAAAGCAGGGTCTCCTCAGAGGTACAGCAGAGGGGAGCGGGCGCAGGGCGGCTGCAGGAGTCAGTGTGGATACCTGGGAGGCGGCGGCGGGACTAATGGGATTTGTGGCGAGCGGGCGTCTCTGGAGAGTGGCAGCAGCCCAAAGGTGCTGCTCAGCAAAGATGGCAGCATGAGGGTGGAGTTTACCAACAGCAGGGTTGTTCCAGTGGAACCGCAGGGGCTGACCGGCCTCCCTGCCATCACCTCCACAACCAGCGCCGCTGCAGGCCCAGAGCCGTCCCTCCGCACCAGCAAAGGCAGCTCGCTCAGCTCCGACGGCTCCTGGTACGACTCGCCGTGGGGAAATGGCGGCGAGCTGACCGACAACGTGTTCGTTTGCACGCAGAGTGTGGATAACAGCAGCGGATACACCACCTACTCCTCCACCCGAACAGAGGAAACCGCCACCAGCAGCAGCGGCTACAACACCTTCTTCTCAGCTCCCGTGGACGACATGTCACCTGGATTTACCTCCACCCTCCTTTTCCCCGCCACAGAGACCAGCGAGTTCGCCTCCGCCACAGGTTACAACACCTGCTCCTCCGGGCGGACGGAGGACAGCGGCATCGGAGACTCAGTGATCCTGCAGCCTGACCTGAGAGACTTCAGCCTGCTCTCACCTTCCAGCATTTACAGCAGCCACAACACGCTGGCTGCTTTCCCCACCGGACCAGATACCTCCCAGGAGCAGCAGCAGCAGCAGCAGCCGAGGACCACCTCCTCCTCGTCCGTCTCCTCGGGGCTGCTGGACGACGTCACCCAGGAGGAGGAGGAGGGTTCAGTCAGAGGCGTGGGGAGTCATTACTCCTCCTGTACGCTGCCATGCCGCAAGGCTGAGTCTGTGAGCGCCGCCGGAGGGAACAACCGAAAAGACTTCCTGAAGAGCCGGATCAGACGGCTGAGCGACTGGACCGGAAGTCTGAGCAGGAAGAAGAGGAGGATCCAGGTAAGAAACTACAGCAACATGTTAAAAACTCAGATCATCCTGCAAGAGGAAGGCAGTGGTCGTTCTACTGCATCGTAAATGAAAAGCACATTCAAAGGGCAACGATTAGGCATTTTCTCTACGGAAGTAATTGTCTTTTTGGTATGTTTTTCATTTAATTTAAAAAAATGTAAATGCACACATTAAAATAAGCTCTCATAGTTTTTTATGTAGAAATTTTAAATTGTACATGTTCCAGTTAAAGTAAAGTAAAAGTAATACTGTGATTCTGAAGATAGCCTGTCCTAACTTTCTATCGTCAGTCAGGAAGTCTACACCATCCAGAAGAGTTTTCACACTAGAAACAAACCGAACCACAGTTCATTTGTTCTGTTAGATCCAGACTGAGACCACCTCATTGCATCGGACTGGCATTTGACTGTTTGAGTCGCACCTGTAATTTTGGTTCACATTGAACTGAAAAGTGTGAAAGTCTGGACCAAACAAATTATGAGTGAAAGGACTCCTATCTGCGTTTCCACTTGAGCAACCAGACGGGTTTTGGTCTGTTCCATTGCTCTGTTATAGTTCAGTAACATTACAGGAATCATTTCTAAATACTTAAATAAATTCGATTGTTTAACCCTTGAGAAAGTCCGTCCTCACAGGGTCGGACAGGAACTTTTGGGCCGTGGGGTGCAGTGTTGGCTGTTGGAGATCGGTCAGTTCTGCTGGGATTTTTCATTGCGTTGTTCAACACTCAGCATTTTTAGAAACACGTCGGTCTGCTTCTGCTCAACAAGGATGGAACAGAGAGACTTTACTGCTTTGTTGTACAGTTATATAAAACGGCAACAGTCTCTGTCTCTAGCTGAGACCTTCATGCTTTTTAACATGATTGAATCTCCTGAATCACTAAATTATTTCTGTAATTATCACACTTGCTGTTGATCAACCAAATGTTGTAGTTTTCCAGCTAAACTGGCTTTAAACGTGTACGTCTGGTGTTTGGAATGAGATGGTACTCACCACTACAGTGAATCAGCATCTTTTGATTTTTGCCCACAGTGGTACCCCCTGCCCAACATCCCCTCTCCTCCTCTATCGCTCACTGCAACCACCAACTCCTAGTTTTGTGATCAAAACAGTGGCTCGAGAGGCCCTTTAATGTTCCACACGGTTTGTTTCTTTTATGCTGACGGTGCGGCGTTCAGCGCTTTCACACCCAGTTAACGATTATTAAAGGGAGAATTGTGGTCAGAGAAATGAACCCATAAACACGTTTCGCTCCTTAAAAGTAAATTTACCAAACAACTGGAGAAAATAAAAGCCAACAAAACCAGGGTCAGAAAAGCCCAAAGAGTCTAAGGCCCGGTTTACACATAACAAAAGCAGTGTTATTTCAATGCGTTTGGACCTTTGGTTTACACGTAAACGAAGCTACAAGTCACCAAAAACAATCAAATCTGAAAACTCCGGCCCAAGTGGAGATTTGGAAAAAATCCGTCTTTACGTTTGCATGTAGACAGAAGGAGACGGAGTTTGACGTCACAGAATGTGACAAAAGCGTCATCAGCGTCATATGTGTGCGACCATGTTTACAGTTTGGCTACTGTGAGAGAAAGTCAAGATTTTCAAGTATATTCCTTGTTTTGTGCTCTAGCACCACATTTAGCTCCACTTCTCTGTCGGTCCAATCAAACGACCCCATTACCGTTGAAGTAACAGGAAGTAATTCGTGCTATTCGTTGTTGTGTTTTTTCCAGGATTCTGATTGGCTAGCATGGCTTTATGCTTCTCGTTACACTGCCCCCTATAGGTTTGGCAGCTCATAGCAGCTCCTAATGACATGTTCATGCATTTCGTTTTTTTTTTGATCTGGTGTGAACAATGTTATTTTTGAGAACGTAGATCCGTTTTTGTAAATACTCTGCTACATGTAAACGTGGCCTAAGTTTGGGGATTAAGGCAAATAAAGTCCCGGATGACTCTAGTGGCCACAGAAAGAAGCACAACAGCACTTTGAGTTCAGTTTACTGTGGTTGTTTGTCACGATGTTGCTTTGAGTCTTTCTCCTAAAACTTAAAGCTTTGGTTGTAAATACTCCAGCTTGAAGCTCCTGTCTGACTTCTTTGCAGGAGCCATACGGCAGCGACCCCAGTGATGTTTTCATCAACGGACTGAGCTCTGGTCTGACCGGCTGCAGCACACTGTGGTCCTCCAACCCTCTCCACACCCTGAACCAGAACCACTTCCCCCCGGTCCACTGTGGCTCCTTCAGGAGCCTGAACCAGAACCAGAGCAACGACGCTCAGCGGCAGAACGTCTATGAAAACTTCATGCAGGAGCTGGAGACGGGCTGCAGCAGCGCGGCCGACCGGACCGAGCCTTCGGAGGGGGACGGAGACGAAGGGGACGAAGACGAGGAGGAGGAGGATGCTGACGGGGAGGTGGAGGTGGGAGGAGGGGAGCAGCTGGACGTCCTGTTTGAGAAGGAGCAGGGCGTGGTGCGACGGGCCGGATGGCTCTCCTTTAAAGCTCTCATCACCGTCAACAAGGACAGGAAGCTGGAGCTGGTCGCCCGCCGCAAGTGGAGGCACTACTGGGTCACACTGAAAGGTACGAGGACCACAGACACAGCTGAGGACAAGGAATTCATTCTTTAGTCTGATTGTCTGCATTCAAGTATGATTTTGATTCAAGGGGAATTGTAGTGATTTTCCAGGTGTTTCCAGGTGTTACTGCTGCGATGGTCTCACTAAGCAGTCCACTTTCATCCAACTGCACAGAAACTGAATGTTCTCTGAAACAAAACCAACAAGAAGCTAGACAAATATCATTCAATGAGTTCAATACTTTTGTAAAACCAAGCTCCAGCTGTTCATAAGTTACGTCATGATCCGAGTTCATAATTGAGAATTCAGATGCATCATTACACACAAGGGTCTAGGTTTAAGGAGAATAAATGGAGTTTTTAAAAAAAGGATGTCTTTGGTTTTGTTGCATTATTTCTGATCTAATTGTTTAAATAGTCCATCAGAAGTCTGATAGTGATAAATTATTTTTCTTTGTTCGGATAAAACCTTTTTTCAGGCAGGTTTTCCTGAACTGAATCCATTGTGTGACTTTCATATGTGAATACTCCTGGACATTTTAAAGACCACAACCAGCTTTAATGAACTCTGAAATTACAGCAACATGGTTCTGGAGTGAAGGAATAAAAACATAAATGAACACTAATGATTATTCTTGTCCCCTCAGGTTGCACGCTGCTCTTTTACGAGACATATGGGAAAAGCGGTGGCACCGAACAGGAGCTTTCTCCTCGCTACGCTCTGCTGGCCGACGACAGCATCGTCCAGGCCGTCCCCGAACACCCCAAGAAGGAACACGTCTTCTGTCTGAGCAACTCGTACGGAGACGTCTACCTGTTCCAAGTGAGTGAGCCGGCAATGTTTGTTTTATGACAGTTCTGACATCTGAGAATTGAGCTGTGCATTCAGGAGATCAAACCTCTACAACAACAGGCAAATCTCCAGTGCAGGAGCGTCCCTGAACGCACCACCAGTAAACGTTAACATCTTGTTTCTGTAAATAGCTCTGGTGCTGTGACATTTTTAACATTGCTGCGTACAACTGCAGTGGGTTTCTGGGAAGTTTTCTCCTCATTCTTTCTATATTTGAACCCGTTTTTTCTCGATTGTCTGTCTTTCGGTTGCTGGCTGCATCTCTTTTCCCATCACGCTCTGTCATTTCAGCCCCGGAACAGTGCGTAGGAATGGGACGTGGTGTTATACGGGGCTGCGGTTCCTCACCACAAACATTCACACAGCTCCGGGACGAATTTTAGGATTTTCTCTGCATCTGTTTTGCTTGGTAATGACTGTGCTGCTGTGGGCATTTCCTCCCTCCACTGCCAGTTTTACACCACCGTCAGTGAGGGGGAAGATGGGTGGAATGCAAAACCAAAGATAGCTTCAGTAGTAAGATCACATTTTAGAGGCAAAGGGGATCCGTAGTTCTGAACTGAACCCTCGCTTCTTGGCTAGCAAGATAAAAATATTTGAATCAGACATCTTTTAGGCTGTTAGAAGGAACGCACAGAAATGAAACTGATTTATTCTCTCATCTAATTCCGGATATTCCTTGATCTCAAACGATAAACAAGCAGCAGAAAAGCAGGATTTTAGAGGTTCAGAGGTCACAGCGCTCTAAAATTAGAAGCGGCATGTTTCCTGTGGCAGCGGCGATGTCGACCCGCGATTTAACAAGGGAGCATTTATCTCTGTGATGTCCCTCCTCACACTTTTACGAGCTGAGAGAGCACTTCTTTATTCCCAGAGCAACTCTCACTTCTCTCAGCGTTAGAGTGTGTTTACAGACACAAATCACACAGCGGGCCTTCTCCAACACGTCTCCATGGATCCCTGGAGGTTCACTGAGGAGGAGGAGGAAGGGTGAAGGGGACCGAGGTGTCGAGGAGCTTTTGTCAGGAGCTGAAAGAGGCTGAAGATGGAGGGTGGAGGAGGGTGAAAGCAGCTAATGGCAGTCACAACACCCGGCTAATTACTGCAACAAATGTTCTTCTTTACAACAATGACCCTGACGAACAGCGAGCTAGTCCTCTGACATGTTTTCCTCCTAAACAAAAACACCTGTTAGTGTCCTGAATGGTTATTATTAAAGCATCAGGAATTGAGTTTAGACCATCAGGGAAACCTAAACCTAAAGATGCTTTCTGCTGCTTGTGTTCTGCTCTTAAAGGAACATTCCTTGTTTTTCAGCCCAAGTCTCATATTTCTCAGCTCCTTTCTCTTGGCAGAACATGTCTGCCGCCAGGTTTCCAAAGTTTTAATTAAATTTCCAGAAAACGCTCAAAAGGAAATGTGAATTAGTGCCTCTTTCCATCCACTAGAGTTATGCGAATATTCAGAGCAGGTGGAAGGAAAAGGACACAATGAGATGAGATCATTCAAAGATGAAAGTGGAAAACGTGATGGAAATCAGACAGTTCTGTTAATGTCGCGTCTGAATGTGAGGAGGGTTGGACAGTTTCGTTCTCTCCACTGGAACTAAATTTTCTGTTTGTGTTTCCACCTCAGATGAGCGTTAAAAAAAACTGTCATGTTTGGAGATTTTGCCCAGTTTTGGACGTTTCCACTCGGAGTTGTTTTAGCCGAAAGAGAAACTGAATCTGCATAAAGACAAGTGGATGGAAACACTTTTAATGCTTCTCACCGAGCTCTTAACTTCACATGCTCCAATAGAGAAAAAAAAAGAATTTTGTTATATGTGGTTACCGTCTGCGTTTTGTTGTTGTTGTTTAGTTCAGTTCTGGGTGGCGGATCAGTAGAGGATCCAATCAACCAAAACTCCAAAACCAGCACGACCTGAGGTGTACTTCCTTACAACTTGTCACTGCTTTAAACTGTTCCTGATGGGGTTTTTTCCCAATAGATGTGATAATTTCTTTTTTAATGAGTCTAAGGTCAGACATGAACTTGGGTAGTTTACTCTGAAATGTTAAATATGTGTACGTAATTTCATTTGCGTGTAATTTTTTGTTGGTTTCATGCATGACACATCCAGCATTTGTGGGTATTTATTTGTTCCAATTGTTTTCAACTTTTGCTGTCATATTTAGTCTAATTCAGGACCATTATATGAATCCAAATCAGCAGTAATTCAAAAAATCAACTTCAAATTATAAGAAAAGGAATAGAGGCAACTTTATATGACCTGCATGACATGTCATACTGATTCAAATCAAAGGCGTATCTCTGTATCTCGAGGTAAATCCTCAGTAAGACCACAAGGGAACAAAACCACATTTTTCTAACATTTTACAAATCATCATTTATTTATGAATTATCAGGACAGGTTTCGGACACACTTTTGTGAGAACTCTGCTGATTCTCTTCAGCCATTAATCATTTGTTAATTTCAATTTTTAGTGCGTCCAGTTTTGTCATGAATTGTTTGTGTGGTGACGTCACCATGCAGCTAAGTTCTGTATTTGCCTCTGTGTGCCTGATGCAGAGAAGTGGCCTGTTTTGAGTCCAGTGAAGCTTTTTGGGAGCTGAAATCCAGTGTTCAGACGCTGTTTGACTCTGATATCTACAACTAGTCCAGTTTATTAGGGTTTGTCCCTGCAGCAGTCAAACATTCAGTCAACCTAAACTCACTCTTCTTCCCATCCTCCCCATCCAGGCCACCAACCAGACCGACCTGGAGAACTGGGTGACGGCGATCCACTCCGCCAGCGCCTCCCTGCTGGCGAAGCGTCAGGGGAAGGAGGACACGCTGCGGCTGCTGCGCTGCCAGAGCCGCTCGCTGCTGCGCAAGATCGACATGGACGGGAAGATGAAGAAGATGGCCGAGCTGCAGCTGTCCGTCATCAAGGAGCAGAAGAACAGGAAGGCAGTGGAGAGCCAGGTCGGTGTTTACTGGGATCGATGCTGGACCAGTGCTGAACTGGGCCATTAGTGAATGGAAACCAGAACATGCTGAACTATATACACCAACATAGACATCACAGAGCCCAACCGTCAAATAACTAATTATTGGTCCGAAAACTAATCCATAAGTATTTTTAGAACTGAATAATCATTTTTGCAATCCTTAAATGGTTCCAAGTCCAAGTGTTCAGAGATGCTTTACAGGATAAAAGAACAATAAAAGCAACTAATACAAAAGTAGACTATGCAGAAACACAAGCAAGCAGATAAAAACAACACAAGATATCAAGATAAAGGTTTAAGTGAGAAAAGCAGAGCGAAACAGGTGAGTTTTTCGTTTGGATTTGAACATTACTGGGTCTGTGGTGTCACGGATGTGTTGTGGGAGAGAGTTCCAGAGGATAGGGGCAGCACATCTCCCCAGGTTCAGTGCTTGGTCCTGGGAACGATTAGGAGGTTGGAATCAGCGGAGCGGAGGGTCCATGAAGGGGTGTAGGGGTGGAGCATGTCTTTGAGGTGAGAGGGGGCCTGGTTATGGAGGCTTTATAGATGAGTAGGAGGATTTTGAGTAGGGGTGATGTGGTCTCGGGAATGGGTGTAGGTGAGGAGGCGGGCGGCAGAGTTTTGGATGTACTGTAGTCTATTGAGGATGTTGGTGGTGGTACCAAAAAGGATGTTATTACAGTAGTCAATGCGTGATGTAATGAAGGCGTGAATGAGGGTTTCTGCTAACACGATATAAACTCAGGAGCTGAATCAGTTTGTCTGGAAACAAAATCAAACCATTTAATTAAAAATGAATAATTTCAGTCTTTTATCAGGCAAAAGCAAAAACAATCCAACATTATTTTGTAGCTGTTGGTTGCATAAAATAAAAGACGTTTGAAGTCGTCACCTTGGACTCGGGACACATCATTTTATACTTTAAAGAATATATTATTCAAAATATAAGCAGCAGATTTATCAAGATTCAAGATCTAAATTCTTTGTAGCAACTATTGCATATACACATATATACTGTATACTACCATGTTTAGTGCACTTAAACTGCATCATGCATTTGAAAGTGTCTGCCCTGACAATGTAAAGGAATAAATGAAATGTCTAAATCTCAGTTGAATCATGAAAAGTGACAAATGTGTTTCATCAGTTTGCTTTTTACTTCTCCTCTTAACAAGATACAAGTGGGACAGAAGCGAAGAGATAATTCCACTTGTTAGAGATCCAGTTTGCTTCTTTAGGACATTGTCTAGACAAATTGCATCAGCATGTTTAAATATTTAAAATCATGTAGGAACAAGGCTTTGGAAAGATGAACGACTTCTTCAATGCTTTCCTGTTCAAAAATGACCCAATCAAGGTCTAACAGAGTTTAAACTTTGCCTACAAAATATGTAAATCTGAGGTTTGACTATTCTGTGTAGGTGTTGCCGTTTTAAAGTACGTTAAAACAGGAAGCGGATACGTTTGACTCTTAAACTGAATCCATCTGTTCCAGCGTTCAGCAGATATGTTTGTCTTGAGTCTCCAAGCGAATGTCATCACGCTAAAGCAGTCTGATGATGTAGGTGGTCCTCGGAAGAACCATTTCTTAGTGATGGCTTTTTTAGTGGTGACCAACGTCGTTCTAAACATGTAGAAAGTAGAGGAACCAAGAAGTTGTGGTGGCATCTTTAAAACATTTTCCTTGCTGTCTCTGATTATCGTCCCGTAGCTGGAAATCCCACGAAATTTCCAAAACACATGACAGTGATTTCTGAAGACCCACAGGCTCGGCAGCACGCTGTTAGAGCTGCTGCTATTAAATGCATTTAAACATTAAGAGAAATCTCACAGCATGATGACTTGATTTGATGAAACATGGGTTTGGATGGTTTTCATTTCAAGGCAGACACGTGGTCTTGACAATGCAGACCCTGAGCTCAGCTCAAAGTGTCACACCAACAAACTGACAGCAGCGGCAGCGATGATGAGGCCTCTTATGAAGTCGTTACCGTCCTGCTGGTATCAGCTGTCCCAGCCAGAGGAAACTCTCAAGTTAGTAACAGTACAAGCCGTTACGTAACAAACAGCCTTGAGGATGTTCTAGCAGCTGCACGGCAGAAAAACATCCGAGCTCCATCTCACGTGGAGTCGTCTTTGACATCAGTTCCAGATGTGTCGGGGCTGTTACCGGCAGCCTGAAACAACACACGGCTTCCCGCTAACGACGGAGCCAGACGAGGCCGTTAAAGTGACGTCATGAAGCAAATGTCGAGGTGGTGAAAGAAGCCGAGTGTCGGATCCACACCACTGACCGACCGACCGGGGCGAGAACATGACGTCCTCATGGCCTCTTTCATGTCGCATCCCGTCGTTTTCCAAAAAAGTTACAGGAATTGAGTTTTACAGTTATTATGTCTATATGCAGCTGTACCTGACAAACATGACTAAATGATTCTTTGTCGATGGTTGCAATGTTCTTGATGTGAGATTAAAATGTGTGTATGATCCCCACAGTTATCCACTGTCTCTATAGGGACCGTTTTACACAGTACAAAATCAATAATACGTCCAAGTCTTCTGCAACAGTGTTTAAAGGCTCCATTCGCTCTCAGTTTTTTCCAGCTGACCCACATGTTCAGTTTGCATTCTTTCAAAGATCAGGACACAGTTTCTAAACACAATACTAGTCATCATTTTTATGAAAAAGGTAACCATGTGAAATCAATTTTGATGGATTAATTTATCTACAAAATGACAGAAAACTGGTTGTTATGTCTTCGTCCAAAATCCAAAGATAGATATAAGAGATGTAAGTGTGACAAAGAAAAACATCAGAGTCTTACATTTGAGAAGCTTTAAAAAATGCATTTATTTGATGTTTCTGCTTAATTTGATTATAAAAATGGTTGCATGTTAGTTTTCTGCTGACTGACTAACCAGTTGTTGCAGCTCCAGTCTTAGATCTGGTATCTGATGAACTCTGGGGCAGCAAGCAGACTAATAATAGCAACCAGAAGAGCCTCTGCAGACTCAATGTGTGATTGAATGTTGTTTTATTCGCATCACTTCAAAAGACTTTGCCTAGTTAACACCTGTAGATCAGCACTGACAGCTGAGTTAACACCTGACCAGCAGTTAAACTGTGAAAGTAATGCGCTGTGAGAATAACATACAAATTATTTATCAGTATCTGCTTCCATTTAGTTCCTGGAATAGCTTAACGCTGAGTTCGAGCAGACATTGTTTCGCTGTGTTTCAGAGGTCTCTGTGCTCCTGTTCGCAGCAGATTGAATCCCAGCAGCAGACTAATGCCTGACAGCAGATGTAAGGAAACAGAGTCCAGATTGGACGTATCATTTAGCAGCCGGTTAATCTTTTTCTGTGAACTGTGAAACTGATCCCAGCACTGCTGTTTGAACTCAGAGGTCCTCTGACTGCAGATTAGAGGCTAATCTTCCCGCTCGACATTCAATTACACATTTGCTCTGGAGAGAAGGAGGAGAGGGGGAGCTAGGAGGATGGAGAGGGTGGAAAATGAAGGAAATGTTTCTATTATTTTGTAAATGATTCGAGTTTCCTGTGTTTTTATAGTTAAACTGTGAGAACGAGTAGAAGGGGGGAGTAACATAGAAGGAAGATGAAAGGGAGGACAGGATGGAGAGAAGACGAGGTGGAGGAACTCCCCTTCATTGGTCCTCTGTGGTGATGTTAGATTAAACTGATGGGTGATAATGACTCTGTGAAGGGCAAAAGATCTACAGACTTTCTCACAACAAAGGATGAAGAAGAAATTCAGTGCAGCAGCACAAACAGCCTCCTGTTAGCAGCCACAGACAGAAAAGTTGTACAGAAGTAATAAAGAATATATAAGTGAATATGTCTACATATAGTTCATGTGTGATCCTGTGTGTTCAGATCCAGCAGTGGGAGCAGAACCTGGAGAAACTGAACCTGGATCTGTTCAGACTCCGGTGTTACTTGTCCAGCCTGCAGGGCAGCGAGCTCCCAAACCCCAAGAGCCTCCTCGCCGTGGCCAGCCGGCCCTCCAAGAGCACGCTGGGACGTCTGGGAGTCTTCTCAGTGTCCTCCTTCCACGCTCTGGTGAGAACCAGCGCTCCAGACCAGCCTGAACGTTTAAAGCAAAACCTCTAGTGTGTATTCATGCACCACTATCAGGCATTAAATGTGTTTCTGTGGACTCACGCAGGTTTGCAGTCGAGATGAGGCGACGCTGCGGCAGCGTTGTCGATCTCTGTCAGGAGGAAACAACCGGAGAAGAGGCCTGCCGTTCTCTCTGAAGGCTCTGGATGGACTGAACAGACGCAGCAAGGACGGCAAACACTCAGCTGCCCAGGTAATAGCCCGCACCACCGGATGTTTTAGCATAAAATCTTTGTTATGCAATCTTTACGTCTGAACACCAAAAGCCGCCAGCAGGTTTAGATGACATGTCTCCTTTCAAAGAAAATGCATAAATGTCACCTATGAGTCACCATTTACCAGAAGCAGAAACTGTTTTCAACTTCTTGAATTACTCATCTGCTTAAAATGTTATCAGAATCCCTTTATTCTACATGTCTCATCTGAAAAAAAAAATATATATATATACAGTTTGCTCTGATTAGAGTCTGTAAAAAACAAAGAAGTCTGCACCCCTCAGTGCAACCAGGAAGCTGTGAGTGTCTCAGCTCACAGTCAGGTGACAAAAGTTCTGGGACTTCTCTGCTGAACTGCAGGCTGTTTACGCAGATGGTATGGAAGCATGGAAACAAATTACAAATGTAAATATCGCCACATAAAAGATCCATGATATTGCAGAACTCAATCAATCAATCAATCAATCAAGAGTCATGCCATTCAGCGGCGATCATTCCTCTCCATCTACCTAAAACTGTACTTGAATATAGAACTCTGGAAAATATCTTCAGTCTTACTCTAGGTTACCACTCACAGACTGAAATCCTGCATCATCTCTGTTTTAAATTCTCTGTTTAGCGTCCTACCTCTCTCTCCTCTCATTATCTCTCTGCTTCTGTACTTAACTTTCCAAAAAAGGCAAAGTGCCCCCCTCCTCAAAAAAAGAGCCGTAATCTGTCTTTATGAATTTCCCATCATCCTCGGCTCCTGAAGGTCCCCTCTCGATAAACAGCGAGCTATTTTGGGACCCTGAGAGTCTGGGATTGGGAGTCGGGGGATAAATCTGTCAGCGGCTCTCTCTCTGCAGCTGGAGGTTTACTTTGGCTCCGATTCTGACCGTCAGTGTTCGAACACGGCAACGCACGTTTAACAATCTGGTTTTGTAGACAATCAGAGCTGCAGGGTTTGAGGGTGTCACCTGCTCCCTCCACTTTTTCGAGCAGTGGCTCATTTTTTGCTGAGCATCTAATCTGCGGTCTCCCTGCTGCCACTACACAATATGGTCAAAAGTATGCGGACGCCGTGGTCTGCTGTGGGAAATTCCTGCCACATGTTGCTGCAGTTTGGCTCAGAGCTGATAGTCCTGAACAACCAATGAGCTGATAGATTAGTTTACAGAAAACTGGCCAATCAGAGGGCTTGGTGTACTCTGTGTGTATTGGGTTCTTGAAATTCAGCATTTGTTTTCTA